TCAGGCCAAGCATGCTGGAATATCATTTGTTTTGGTTTTCGGATAACTTTCTAAATTGAATGGAGTTAGGTTTGTCAAGGCCTCTGGAAATCGGATATGACAATTGTATGAACAGATTAAAAAAAAAAAAAAAACACAAATGGAACAAGCTAATCAGGCCGAATAATGTTGTACGCAATGTTCATAATAGGGTACGCTTATGCTGACATCTAAACATTACGAGTGGATTGATGTATGTATAAGGAAAACAGAAACTTTGAGAGTAAAATTTTACGGCACTAATACGCTGCCTTAAGTTTAAGGCCTTTTCTTCTTCGACTTTCAGTTCGATTTGGTATCTGATATATTTGTTATGTTGGACTAGGCGCGGTTTAGCACGCTCCATTAGTTCGAGGTCTCTCGATGCTACAAATGCGTACACAATATAAATAAAGATTGAAAACGCATTTCACGGATATATGCAGAGGGAGGCACATCGTTGAAATGTTTCGTGTGAAATTTTAAAAAAAAAATTTATTTCAAAAATTAAGTGTTTTTGGCGCGAACTTTGTAAATATGACCCTCTTAAGGAATGTGTACTTTATTCTGTATTTTCTTTTTTCCTATTTTATTTATATTTTTCAATTTTTTTGCTTTTTTTGTTTTTCTTTTAATAATGATGATGTCTAATGTATGTACATAAGTTATAAATGCATGTTCGCTTATTTTCTTAGTGTTGCACATACTATGCGTTGACTGTTGCATAATAATATTTATAATAAAACGGATGAGTGTCTTTAAATGAATATAAATATGTTTCAATGAATTAATGAATGAATGAATGAATGAATGAATGAATGAATGAATGCTAAAAATAAAATAACACAAAATTATTCAAAAATTATAATTTAACAAAGAGAGAAAATAAGATAGAGAGAAATCAAGTAAAGTTTTTTAATTTTTAAATTTCTTAAAATAAAAACACAATCATGCGTTTCTTTCTGTTCGTAAACTATAATAGAAACTTCTTCTGAATGAAGGCACTTTTCACCAGGCTTAAAAGAATCCTATATAAATAGAACGAAATTCTGCGTGTGATCTATTTATTCATTTATTCATTTATTTATTTATTTATTTATTTATTTTAATGATTATTATTAGTTTGTGCTTTTATTTTCTTTTTGTGTTTTTTTTTTTACAGTGATGATTGTGTCTCCTCCCAAAATGTGTACAAACATACAATTTTGTTATAAAATTATAAAATTTTTGAATTTTTTTTTTAAGATTTGTCCTAAATTTTGTTTAATTTTGTGTTTGTTGTTTTTCCATTTTTTTTTCGTTTCTTATTGACTCCGTAAAGATATTAATTTTAGATTTAATAATATTTCCCCGTTATTTTTGAATTTAATTCCAAAAGGCATTTTGTGATTTTGTTTGTTTGTGACCTAAAAGTTAAATTTTGTCGTGTCTAAAACGTTCCATCCAAAATTGCTTATCCAAATCTTAATTGTACATATGTCTGAGTCTCTGTAAACAGGTTTGTGTATGTGTATTTACGTGTTGTAATTAATCCTTTTTATTATCATTAAATTAACTGCGTGCTTCTCTTCTTTTTTTTTTTTTGCCATTTTCATTTTCTATATTTGTTTCGTTTATAAAGATTCGTTTAAGTTAATCTTAGTGGGTACGAAATGATATTAAAAAAAAAATAAAAAAAAAAATAACAACAACTAGGAAAATTGTATTCGTCTCCTGCCGAACCTTTTATACCCATCACATTTACCTTGGGAAAGGGCCGCGAAAAGAAGAAAGAAACAAGCTATTATGTTAGCTGGACGAGCATGTAGCATGACCAAGAGGATATATAATCTGGGGAGATTTTCATTGTTATATGCATTGCACTTTTTACGTCTGAAAGCAGAGATATTCTCAACTTATGTTATAGTCTAGACATGTCCATTAACCGATATGCAACATTTTCAATATGAATTTGCGTCCAGCGATTTCCGATATCTTTCCTAAATCCAAAGATGATATTTTCACATTTATCTCGAGGAGAATATTAATCACAGATATTACATAAATAGATAGACGAATACACGACCAGGCGGATATTTTTCTATTACTTCATTTCAGATTTTAATATCGATCATACACACTTACATGTACATAGCCTGTGTAGAGAGATTGTCTTCCGTTCTTCGGTGATGGGTATAAAAAACACACGAATAGATATATCGTATAAATAAATAAATAAATAAATAAATAAAAAAAAAAAATAAAAAAAATAATAAAAAAAAAAATTAATAAAAAATGTATAACAAAACATGATAATGTCTGTACATATACAAGTTTACAAGCCTTCTCAATACTGGCCACACATTTTCAGAATTCTTTTATTAACGAGAAATGTTTTTTTTTTTATGGGATATTGAGGAAGGGATAAGATATTTAGACGTTCCTTGAAAGCTGAGAAAAAGTAAATGAAAATATGTTTAGGCTACGGGTTTAGTGTATGTAGATAGCGATTGAGGAATGTACCAAAATAATGTAAATAAAGTTATTTATATTTAAGACTAATTACAAAGAGATCGTATTTTTTGTTTTATTTTTCTTAGTGTTAAAATACTGTTTTTGAAATAATACTTTTGTTTATTTGAACCTATATGCATTCAATTAATTTGTTTTACAATAATTAACGTAAATAACCTTTTTTTTCATTTACGATAAACGAACGTTACATATTTTCACAAATACACGTAAGTTATAATCATCTTATTTCAAAAATAATAATACTAATAATAATAATAATAATAATAATAATAGTAATAATAATAAATAAATGAAAGAATATGAAAGTATAAAGTTTATCTATCGCATTTAAGAACCAAAAATTGTGTGAATTCTATGTGTGTGTTTGTGTGTGTGTATGTGTGTGTGTATATATATATATATATATATTTATCTTTTATTTATATTTTTCTATACATACTTATTATAGCGCACGTGCACTCATATACATACATACCTTGATTAGTACGGTTGGTTTTGTACTGTGGAAGAATAAAAGTTCAGACTTTGTGACTAAAATTTGAATCAATTTTTGTACCGATATCTTTTATAAACCGTAAGTTGTTCCCAGTTTATGTACTTTTTCTTTTGTTTGCATGTTTCGGAGCTTTATAAACGGAAAGATAGAATTAGCATAACCTAAGAAAGACTTGAACTTGTTCAGAGTGATGATTCCCACTATTGAAAACATTAATCGTCAACTCTACCAAATACATCACCAGCGTGAATAGCGGATTCAAAATTTTCATTCATTTCATTCGCACATTCCAAATTGTTTTATTATTATTGCTGTCATTGAGTTCTAAACTCAGCGAAGGACGTCCACTGTTACTCCAAAAAAAAAAAAAAAACTAATAATTTCTGCCTCTTTTCATGAATTATCTATCGCCTCGATGTTTGGGAATAACATTTTCATCTAACAAAAACTCGGTATTGGAAAATTGACTGAATCGGATCCATGATACATAGCATTTGAACCGATTTTTTTAAAATCCATCATTAGATTGTATACAATATTTGATTGCTAAGTCAAGCGACACGTCACCGTAACTAGTTGCGTTAACATTAAAGTTCCGCCTTATTTGCAGAGTTTTTTTGATAATTAGATCTTTGACCGAATCAAGAAAAAAAAAACACATTCACCGGAGCTTTTTTAGTCTCCAGAACAGCTAGAATTTACACCAAATAATTGCGATGACTATGGTGGTTGCGGAGCAGCTTTAGTTGAACTTCTGAAAGAATCTTAAAGTATCAATGCAGTATGAGAAGCTTTGAGCTTTAAATGCTACTTTAAATATAAACATCGACAGCAGGCGCTTGATTTTCTTGTCCAGACGCCGAAGGATGGCCAGCACGTTTGCTGTCGTTCTCTGTTCTCTGTACGAACAAATTACCCATCAAGCCCACGTCGCATTGAACGGCGGGTTTTTGCCAACAATTCTCTTTCTCTATCTCTCTCGAACGTTTCGGAAGCTAAATTCCATTTCTGAGTCAATATTAGATACAACTTCTTCTTCGAAAGTTCTGTGCTCATTGTAAAAGCCAAAAATTCACTTTCTAGACGAAAGCAAACAAGAATATCTCATAGTAAATTGGTTCCAATATATAAGGGAATAGTACTCCTTTGAATAGGTTATCGCAATTTAAGTAAACAAGGCTTAATACTTTTTAAACAGAATACTAAACGAGATGTTTACATATAGATTAAGTTAGCGGTGGACATTAAAAATTATGCCCAAGCTGGATGTAATTTTATTTTGATGTAATTTTTAGCAAAAATCGGGACAGTGATAGAAGAGTCCGTCGCTTGCGACATGCTTGCGATAGTGTTCTAAAATATTTAACTAAAATGCATTAAAGTTGTAGTAGTATTAAAATGGCTCTGGAGTTTTTTTTTTTTCACGCTGCTTGCTTCATAGCGTTTTCAATTAATTGTATCACTGGTAATGGTGCACTTACATCATGCATGTACCTACGTTAATTAATTATAAATTACACATATGTAGATATGTGTAGGTATTTACGTATGCATGAATGTATATCTGTTATGCTGTGCATACTTTATAAATAAATTATATTTAAGAAGAATAAAATACTGGCATTCAATATTCTGCTTATTGGTTTGGATACGCCCTTTTTTCGTATTTCAACATATATCTCTCTCCCTAGTCTTTATGCTTTTGGGTATCGGTTCAACCGATAATACTGTAGCAGAATGTTTGTTTAATCTCTACATCTGACCGTATTGCTGATTCTATCGCTGTATTGTGAATGCGATCTAGGTGGTGTTCGGGCGATATATTATATAAGTGTGGAATAAAATGGATATATCGGCCAAGAGCAGAATATATCCATGTTTATCATCACTTGCTATACAACTAATTTATTAAAAGCTAGCTTGATTTTTATAAATATTTATTGAGGAGAGCTTCGTGATTTCATTGTTGTCCTTATTCGCTACTTGTAGTTATCGGTTCTAATTTCACACTATTACTGGAACTTTTATTGCTAGTTGTAGAAGTTGTAGTTGATGTGCATGCGACGGAAGTTAAAATTTCAGATGGAGTATTCGATTTTGTGACAGTAATTGTCGAACTTGTGTCAGCTAACGTTGATGGTTTCTTTGAGGTGGATGATGAAGGCGATGTACCCACCAGATCGGCTAAATCATCGGGAAATAGACGGGATGGTGAGAAAGATTGCGTACTTTTACTATAACCAAAATCAAGACCCAGGTCCGTAAGGGAAGAACGAAGCGCTGTATTTCCTGGCGTACTTTGACGTTGTCGTTCTAGAGATGGAGATATCGAAGAGGAAGAAAATTTAGTTTGTGACGCACTAATTGCTGTAGAAATTGAATGCTGCGAGGAAGCTGACGCTGCAGTTGTTGCAGTGGAAATAGATGGATGACTAATGGAACTTGCACCGAAAATCATTTGCTGATGATGTTTTTGCTGCTGCTGTTGCTGTTGGTGAATAGCATGTTGTTGTTGCATATGTAACTGCTGAAGCTGATGTTGATGTTGTTGCTGATTTAGCATCGTTGCGGTTTCACATCGTCCTGTGCCACCGACCATATGCAAAGCGACAGCCATCCCTGGAGGCAACTGATGCATCCCCGGTAATGTGGGTCCACATGGCGAGGGAGCGTGCCGCGGTCCCACCACTGCACTGCCACCACCAGAATTCGATGTGGTACTTAGGGCTGGCGAAATACTCGGTTTCGGTAGAACAATACTACCAGGACCCGGTGCGCCAACGATGGGTCCCGCACCGGCTGGTCCTGCGGCAGATACCAAATGCGGTGGTAGGTTAAATAGACTTGCAGCTCCAAGATTTTCAGTGTGTTGCTGATGTTGCGCGGCAGCAGCCATTTGCATTTGTTGCCGAAAGTTATGAGCAACAGCCGCTACAGCTGCTGCCGTAGCTTCCTGCGACATTTGATCACTTGCAGGTGCAGGCATACCATTCGCACATTGACCGCTTGGACCGCCATAGTTTAGTGTACTTTCTTGAAAGGAAAAGACTGGCTAAAAAGTTTATGAAATGATAAATGATTTTTGTTTTTATTCGTAAAGTTTCGAACGATATGTGTATTTGACCAGCAGCACACACACATCACATATGTATGCAAAATAATATTTATGGTTTTCTTTTTGGTCAGAACTGTTATTGGATACGTTTTCCATACTTAGATACTCACCGAATGGCGACCATAGGATAGATGTGCAAAGGTTTCTTCCTTAAGATCCTTAGCGTCGCGAAAAACCACTGTTTTAATAACTCCTTTAATATGTTCATCTGGCCAAATGCCAAGTAGGATACGTTGGGGACGCCCTCTTCCTTTCGGCCTGAGATCAGGGCCGCCGTCAATTGAAGGACCTAACATGTTATGAACCCGGTTCGCGTATAAAACGAAAGTTGGATACGGTATATCGTATTTGCGTGCTGCTTGAGATAGCGATAGGCCTTCTTTTAAAACACTAAAAATTGCTTCTGCCATCGTTTCGGGACGCCACGACTTTAATGGACCTCGCTCGCGAAAACGCAAGTGATGCATTAGACTTTGGTTTGTATTCCAGCATTTTTGCCACATCGACTGCAGTTGATACTGGTAGCTGTCTGCTAGATAAGCAAAAAATTGAGGCATCACCTTATCACATTATCCTTATTAATGTATTAATGTTCATAACAAACCTGCAATAGAAGCTCCGGAACTCATCCAAGCATGTGAACTTTCTAACATTTTTGCCTAAAATGAAAGGATAAAATAAGAAGTCATATGTGAACTTTTTTTTCTTTAATTGATTTTACAAGATACTGAGTTTCATTTCGAATAAAAATTTCACGGCATTACATCATTAACTGCAAATGAAAACAGCTATGTGTAGAAAATGTTAACGTATATATACAATGATAACATATATATATATATATATATATATATATATATAGATGTAGTAACGAAAAGTAAAGATTGTGAAGCGATTAGTGTACAGTAGAAAGAAAAAAATGCTGCTATAGTATTACAATGATGTCCTCCAATCAGTCTTAAGTGTTAAGGTATCAGGAAAAGGGTGGTTCCCAATAACAATTATGTTAAAACTGTTTCATAAGAACGCATATCCATTGATCGCTAGATCTCAGATGCAAGAAAATTTTTCAAGAACAGGAGAAATCCATAGTTAAGAGTGCACAATATATTTGATTAACGCTACAAAGGGCAAAGCATTGCCAAAAATGTTTAAGAAATTGTAAACCAATCAAACTAAACTAAAAATGGAATCAAAATAAGTTAATAAGTAACAAAACGGACCGACAACATTTTAATGTATATATATATACATATATATATGCACATAAATATATAAATATATATGCCTGTATTTACCTGCAACCGACGTGTGCAGTGGGTGTTTAAATGTTTACGTAATCGTCGAGGCGTAAGTCTATCAATTGAGTGTGAAATTTCTGTTTTTTACTGTCAAAGTAATACTTTCGTCTTTTTGGCAGGGCTTTTGCGGTAACGCTCAAGTGTGCTTGTGTGGTAACTGCTGCTGCTTTCAATTCTTTCTGAGACTCAACACCCCTTTGTACGTTCATTTGGTTGCCTTAGGTTTGTAAGGCATCTCGAGCAGGGGTTATTTCTTCTTAGTCTGGCAGTAAACGCAATTTAATAAATTCTCCGCAGGATGCAACAAATTTCCGTAGATATAAATATATACATACATACAAGTGTACGTGTTTACGTATATACAATCAATATATATTCTAACGTGTGTAGATATTTCAAGAGTATTAGGACATTTTCAAGTGGTGGTTATACGAAAATTTAAAAGCTAAAAATTAATTAGCGTAAAAACATGACTAACAATATATGTATGAAGCAAATATTGATAAAAATCAGTCATAAGTCATCAAATGTTTTGTCATACTTAAGATTTTTAACGCTCAAGACGCCATTTTCTTCGAAATTAATTTTTTTAAATCTTTCTAAAATACATCTACGCATATCTACAATTGTGCATCAAAGTATATCAACATGTTTACATAAATTTGTATAACTCTATATGCTTGCATTTAAATGTTGTAGTAAAACTAGCTGCGTAATGCACAGAAGTCTGAGAGATCCCTTAAAGTGCATATACACTTGAGCGATATGAGGCTTTGACTCAATTTCGCTATTCGTACGTTTCTGTGCTTTTACAAATTTCACGATCTTAAATTTTTTCTTAATAAATTCTCTGCGCCAAATACGACTCAACTAATCAACTAAATCGGCCGATGGGTCGACAAACTAACGTTAAGCAATAGATTCGTTTATCTATTCGTAAATCTAAAAATTCAGCTAAAATGCATATTCGCCTAAGTTAAGCAAACTTTAAACAAGTAAGAAAATTATAGTCGGGCAACGCCGACCATTACATACCCTACATCACTTCGCCAAGCACTGTTATTCGTTCGTTTTGGTAGTAATACTCCAAGAAGTACACATTAGTTTCATGCGAAGCCATAATTTTCACGAAAGCCTGCATATTGGAAGGTTCGATTTTCTCTTCATATAAGAGTTTCCGTTTCGTGATAGCGCCTATATAAGTCCAGAGAGGTCCAGAAAAAGTAGATCTATGTGATCCAATTTCGCTACCGTTAATATTTTTTGGTGTAACGCTACTATGAATTGTTATCCTAAGATATTTTATACGCAGTGAGGGAAGAAATAGATCCATGTGGTTCAAATTGAGTTAACTTTTTTATTTTTCTATTTATTATTATGGGCAAATTTTCATCTTGAAATTTTCACTTTCAAAATTAGCAACTAAGTTTTTTTTGGCATATAAGTGTTTCCATTTCATGAGAATTCTTATACGCGGTGGTATCCAAAGAATAGACCCATGTGGTTCAAAATAGACATACGTGGTGCTAAGGTGTATTTCTTTGTCAATTTATTATTATGCGCCAATGTTAGCCATAAAATATTTTGAATTCAATGTTTTTACGATATAAGCCTTTAGTTTCCGCAGAAATGATTGCAAGAGAGGTGATTCAAAAAATCGCTCCAGCCGGTCCAGAATTTTCATAACAATTTGGAATGCCGAAATACTACTACTTAGTCAGTCTTGCCAAGAAATTCTGAAAATTGCAATTTTTTCTATATAACAACTTTTCAAAATAGGGCGTTATATGGTCGAAAAAGTGACCCTTCGTTGTTGGGCCAAAGTACGCCAGTGTAGCAAATTTCATCAAAATGTCTTAAAAATTGCGATCACAATTGCTTGAACACAAAAATATATGGGCAGATATCAAACGGACAGACAGGTTTAGAACGAGTTGGAAAATGATTCTGAATCCTTCGGTCTAAAAAGAGGCGAATCTATTTTAAGCCCTTCTGGGGGTTACTTACGTCCCGTACCACAAGTGGTGTAGGGTAAATCTATAGACTTAATCATAGTATTATAACTATTTATAGAGTTGAATGCTCTATCACATGCATCAGGCGAAATATCCGAATATGGTTTTTTATCAATATACAATCACTTGCAAAGTAGTGCCAAATTATGTAAAAGTTTGACTTGTAATATATACGATAAATAATATATACGATCGTTCGTTAGCTAATGAAAGGTGTTAACAGCTTTGGCGTAAGCCAAATAGAGTTTGCTTCCCATATTATTTAGCCTTATCTCGTTTACGTAGACCGAATGGCAACTCTCTGAAACGTATGAGAGCAAAAAAGCATAGTTTTTACTAATAGTTTTGGTTTTCACGCTTTGTATTTTTCTAACAACCAAACCTGTCGGCTCTCTAAGCTAAACTGACGGACGAAATTCACTAAACAGCGATATGTTTTTGGGAGTTAAGCTAAAGCTTTCCGCGGCGTGGTCGCTAATTAATACTCCTGTAATGTTTTCATACTTGAATGTAGTCGAATTCGTTGTTATAGGAATATAATCAGTCAATAGATCTGCCGAAATTTCCAAAAGGTGATATGATAAGCATGTGTTTAGGTGTTAGATGACTGATTCTTAAGGCCAGTTAAAGTCTATATTTTTATTTCATGTTTCAAAGTTTTTTACCGCTCATACATGTCTCAGCTGAACGTAGACCATGCATTAATATTAAAGTCTTAAACCCGTTAAGATTGCAGATAAGTGAAAAGGAAATTTAGAATTATGCAATTAGCGGGCAAGTATAAGAAATATCACATCTAATAATAAAAGCCGGCACACCACCAGCGCTTTCATAACCGAATCAGTCAACAGAGATTGTATGACGTAAAAAATTTACTCAGTGCAAATATACCGCCACATGGCAGAGATAAACCAATTGAATTAGTTCAAGTACGATATCGGTAGTGCTTTGACGCTAGGAAGAATACCTTTAGTTTCACTTCTGGGATCAGCTAATGAGATAAGGTATAAACAATAATTAAATTTTCACAAAAGACCCTAAGTGGGTTAAAAAGTTCATAACTGAATTTGCATTGGCTAAGATTTATGTAGAAGATAGTTTCGTGACGGATGTACGGAAACATTGAAGTCAATCTGATTTACAAAACCGGCTAGTCGATAATATCATTTAACCAAGAAGGTAATGCCTAAGACAAACCTAAGTTTCTTGAGGTAAGGATATAAGAAGTAACCTATTGTCATATGGCGGAAGATGGACATGTAGATCTCAACTTAAATTTTGTAGCGCAAAGAGCCGCAATCCTTGCTGTACGAATTTAATTGGATCAACATGACAACGATAAGAAGGTGACTATGTGACCGCGGCATAGTCCACTATAGATTGATCCAAGCTCGTATATGGTTGTTTCGCAAGGGTACCGCAAGGATCATCGAATTCTCTCGCTCAGCATTTAATAAAGCCTAGTACTGATCTTGCTTTATCCACAGTGTGTTCAATATGTAAATTGGAAAGAAGTTTATAATCGAACTGAACACCAAAATCTACGAAAGCATCCGTTATAAACGAATTTCTTCTTGAAATTGAATGAGCATCATGTTATTAAGCTATTTAAATCCTATTGGACTCCGAATTAAAAGCTAAGAATAGGTTAATGTCGTCAGCATATATCAAGATATGAGACGGTTTAAATAACTGATGACGGCAGATCAGATAGTGTATAAGGCAAACAGAATGGGTCCTATGTCACTGTCTGTCCTGTGGCTGTTGCAGTGACTGCAATGGAATTAAAGAGAAGCCCTTCAAAGATCTGCCTTCAAGGTATGATGAAAATCAGTTAACTAAATAAAGCGAAAAGCCCAAGTTGTCCTTTTTCCATATTAAAAATTTGTGGTTAGTTCTGGCGAAGGTCTTACTAAAATCGGTGTAAATGACGGTCATTGTGTACCATTAGAGAAGGCAGACGAATTGAAGGAAGTCCGTCGTGGTTGACCGTATTTTCAAGGATGCATTTTGGCTAGGAGCAATAATTGCCTTGATAGCATGGCTAAGCCGACACGTTAAGATAAGCACAAAGTACTTGAATAACGCACTAAGTTCTGTAACGCCTCTACAGTTTTCAACGATCTATTCGTTACCATCTCTGTGAAGCGGGGGGTACGAAGGTTGCCTCACAACAAATTGGAAATCTGCCTGTTTTAAGGAAACAATTGAAAATGAAAGCTATGCTACGATGAAGTTCAACTGTACAGTGTTTGAGATGGAAGCCCGTACAGGTCCAGCAAAGAGTCGTGCTTTGGCGATTTTGAATTTTGTAAAAGGTCGAAATAATAATTTTTTGAATAA